GGGAGGCTGAGGCAGGAGATTCGCTTGAGCCCAGGAGTCGGAGGTTGCTGTGAGCTGTGATGTCACAGCATTCTACCCAGGTTGACAGCTTAAGGCTCTGTCTCAAAAAAAAAAAAAAAAAAGTTGGACATCTGAAAATTTCATATATCTGTCATCTGCAGGAGTTTTGCGACCCAGAGGCGTTGGGCCAATGGGCTCCAGGGAGCCTCTCAGAGCAATGCAGGACTTCAACCTACTCCTGAGATACTGCCTTTCACTTCTTCTAAGGAATCTTCCCTACGGGGAGTCAGAGCTGATAGAACTCAGCTCAGGTAGTTCTTGGCGTTTAGAGCTTAGAAACCTTAGCCTCCAATTGCTAACATTGGGATGTAAATTCTACTATAAGGATCACATAGATGCTTGAGTGGTGGAGTATAATTGCCATCCAACAAATAAAGCCTATAAATATTTTCTTTGGCCTTGAAAGGGGTATATGAGTTTATTTTAGAAATCAAATCTACCTTAGTCGGGAAAAAAATGCTAGGGTTGAGTTAAAAGCAAGGTACCGTATATACCTGGCACAGTGTCTCCCACCTGTAATCCTAATTGCTCAGGAGGCTAAGGCTGGAGGATCCTTCAAGGGGCAACAGAGCAAGACTACCATCTCTAAAAAATATATATAAAAAGTATGGGCAGCACCTGTGGCTCAGTGGGTAGGGTGCAGGCCCCATATACCGAGGGTGGCAGGTTCTAATCTGGCCCCAGCCAAACTGCAAAAGGGCGTTGTGGCAGGCGCCTATAGTCCCAACTACTCTGGAGGCTGAGGCAAGAGAATCGCCTAAGCCCAGGAGTTGGAGGTTGATGAGAGCTGTGATGCCACAGCACTCTACTGAGGGCGATAAAAAGTGAGACTCTGTCTCTATAAAATATATACAGATATAGATATAGTGAGTTAAATTATGATAGACTTGTACAAAATACCTGAATTTATAAAATAAGTGAATTAAAAAGTGCCTTTTTACTCATAGGAAAAATCTCCATTGTATATTATTTTAGTTCATTCAATAAATAATAAGCACATAACTGTGGGAAAGGAATTCTCAAAATCCTGACAGGAGTGCAGCCATTTTAGAAAATCAGGTCAGGCTCGGCATCTGTGGCTCAAGCGGCTAAGGCGCCAGCCACATAAACCTAAGGTGGCGGGTTCGAATCCAGCCCGGGCCCGCCAAACAACAATGATGGCTGCAACCAAAAAAAATAGCCAGGCGTTGTGGCGGGTGCCTGTGGTCCCAGCTACTTGGGAGACTGAGACAGGAGACTCACTTGAGCCCAGGAGTTGGAGGTTGCTGTGAGC